CTCAAGGCGCAGCACGACGAGGAGGCGCACGCCAGGGCTTTGCAGGAGCCAGGCGAGCGGGCATTTCAGGCAGGAGACGTTGTCTTTCTTCGTGCTCCTCCTCAGCAGGTCGCTCGTGCAGTCGGCGCCGTGGACGGCACCAGCACGAGGCTCTTGCCACGCTATCGCCCACAGATTTTCAAGATCCACAAGATGGCGGGGCCCCAGTCGGCGATCCTCGCCGACCCTGACAGCGGCTCGACTACGTTGGGCTTCAGCCAGCCAGTGCACGTGAGCCGGCTTCGCCTTTTCGACCTGGCCGAGCTCGACGTGCCGATCAAGGACGAGTCCTTGCAGCTGGAGCTGATGCGCGGCTCGTCGTGGGTCAAGGCGGACATCGTCAGCCAGTCTGCGACAGGCAGGGTGGAGGTCGTTTTCGCCGACACGCCGAACGAGAGCACGTGGCTGGACTTGGCCAGCGAGGAGCACCGCTGGTTCTACCCTTTGAGCGGAGCGGCAGCAGGCCAGGCACGCTGGCGCGTGCGACTTGCTTGATCGGTCACAGGATGAAGGCTAGGGGGATGCTGGGCGTGAAGCTTACCCCAAGCGTGTTCCCCTCACTTCTGTAAATGATATCCTTCACCTGTGTCATTCCGTACTCATGCACCAAATTCAGCCTTACAGAAAAAGCGCGTTTGCATCTGCTAGAGCTTGCTAGCCATTGTATTCTCATTCAGGGTAGTCAACTTCCCATTGTGGCTTGCAGCTGTGGGCCCTGGGTGCATTTTCCTGAATGTCGATTTCCGGAACCCTTTGGAAATAATTCCCGAAATGTTTCCCGAATCTGCTAACACGTCTGGCTGCCGACTCTGTGGGGCCAGGGGGCCGATTTCTCCCGAGCTCTGCATTGTAAGGTGCGCCGCTGCGTCCTGTCTCAATCTCAGGCCGCTAGGGTCACAGAAGCAGATTTTCGAATTCCCCCGACCCATAGCGACACATGCGTCGCTATGGCTCGGCCGCCGAGCGTCTGGCAGCATACAGGTTGTGCAGCGCTCTCTGGGTCCCGAGGCCACCAGTGTCGAACGCAGCAGGTTGCACAGTTGAGATTCGCAGGATTTTCAGCCCGCTAGCAGTACTAAAGCACGAGAACTGGTCAGCTGAGCATTTGTGCATGCACGAGCGTAGGGCGCAGCAGGTGCACGAGAGGACTGTGGACTGTAACCACTTTGGCTCAAGACCGAGGTAAAATACATGATTGTCATCGAATCGTTTGTCGATTTGTCACTGTCAGTATTGTTCTAATACCTTCCCGAACCAGTATTGCTTGGAATATTGGGCAGTGTTTTGCATTGATGTGTGTTGGCATTGCATTGTTTCGAATTGGCGTACATTGTGTGGCACTGGCTGGCGTTGCTTAGCATTGATTTGCCTTGCTGGGCATTGCTGGGCAATGGTTGGCATAAATCGGCTTTGTTCTGCATCGCATCACGTCGCGTTGCATTGTTTTTCATTGTGTTGCGTGGCTTGGCATTGGTTTGTTTTGCTTTGCTTTGTTTGGCGTTTGTTGGCTTTGCTTGGCATCGCAAACAAAGAGGAAGCACGGCCAAGGAATCCAGGGCGCCCGAGGAAGGCAGCCTCCTTTCCAGACATGGCCAGGGAACAGGACGATAGGAGCACGGGGAAAACGAAGCGAACTGGCCAGCGCAGGCCCCGTGCGCCCACCGGTTGCTCAGAAGCTATTAAAAACCCCTTGGACAAGCCTGAACTTAGTCGCCCTGGCATGCCCGTCTTGCAGTGCAAAACGTACCGTATTCACAACGTCCGTGTCAACACACTGCGTGTTGGTTCGGCACGTATTGGCCCACGTTTTGGTGAACTTATCGCGCCAAACAAATTTTTGCAGTATTCGTGTGAGCTCGGTGTCAACACGTTACGGGCTGCGTGCTGCGTATCGGGGCGGCTACGAGCCTCGCAGAGAGCTGCTCACACACGCAAAATTAGACACATACGATCATGCGATAAACAAAAAATACGAAGCCTAGCTGTGGAAATGGCACCCTTGCGGCAAAAGACCCGAAACAGCTTTACACAGCCACGAGGGGGGGCCAACGATGAAGGGTCACTGCGGGCCGCTCCGATTTCGGGGCTCCCTCACCGGGCGATCCAAGACGAATACAGACCCCTCGCAGACAAGCTGTTCAGGGAGCCACACTAGCATCGACCTTCGGGGGTCCGGGCGGATTTCTTGGATCTGCGCTGGGGCTCCCTGGCGGCGCCTCCGGCGCCGCTTCCAGAGCGCTCCGCGCGCCAGGGAGGGGATCCAGCGCCCATCGAAGGGGTCCGAGCCTTCGAAGGCTTGCTCCCGAAGGAGCTCGCGCGCAAGGCTGCTACCTGACTCTTACGACGCGAGGCTGCTGCACAATTCTTGTGAAGCAGCCGAGGGGGTCGCCTAATCTCAGGACGGAAAAAAAATCACTGACACAATGAATCGTCGATTCCCCCGAAAATATGTTTGAAAATATGGGCAGTGGGGGGGAAGACGAAGATCCAGAAGAAAATATGGGAAAATATGGGGAATCCTGTTTTTGTGTGTATCTATTTGTGTGTCCTTGGGCCCCCTGATAATCCCGGATCCATCGGGCGACGCTGTCGCCCGTGGTCTCCCGTCGTCGCCCGTCGTGACGCCCGTGGCCTCCGGTGGCTTGCCGTGGCCTCCCGTGGCCGTCCGTGCCCGTGCAGTGGAAGCCCACGTCGAGAAGCACCTCGCCCGCCTCCAGGGTGCCCCGGGTTTGTTGGGTTCCGATGGCTTTGCTATGGACAGCGTGACGTCCCCACACCAGAAAAAAACATATACATATATATATATATATATATATGTGTATGTATCGACATATATACATACATACATACATACATGCATGCATACATACATGCATACATACATACATACATGCATGCATGCATGCATACATACATACAGACAGACAGACAGACAGACAGACAGACAGACAGACAGACATACGTACATACATACATACATACATACATACATACATACATACATACATACATACATGATATACTTACATGCATACATGCATGCATGCATGCATGCATGCATGCATGCATGCATACATACATACATACATACATACATACAGACAGGCAGGCAGGCAGGCAGGCAGACAGACAGATAGACATACATACATGCATACACATACACGTATACATATATATATATATATGTGGACGTCTTGGGGTCTCAGGTGTGGGCTTCTTGTGGAAGGCTTCGTGTGGTCGAGCTCATTCTGTATCCCTCCCCTCTCCTTATCAAGTTCATATAATTTCACCCCTATCCTGGATCCCCATCGTAGCCCCCCATTCCCCCTTGCCCCCATCGTGGCCCCCCATCGTGATCCCCCACGGTGGAGCCCATCGTAACTGTGTGAAGCTGTCTAGCTCCTTCTGCCGCAAAAGTGCCATGTCTACAGTGGGCGCGGTAGCCAAGGAATCGTCCCAGGAGGCTTCAGACCCTGGAGGATTCCTCATCTGATGAGGGCGGCGGTGATGTCAGTGGCCAAGCTTCAATTGGTGGTCCGCCGGTTTCCAGACCCTGGATTCCTTGGTTAAGGGTTCCTTGTATATCCAATGCTTTTCACCGTACCCAGAGATCCGATGTCTTGATTTCTTCCATTCGGGGTCCTCAGGAGTTTCGACCCACTCCCCAGTGCCAGCTTCTCATCCCGAGTCGTTATTTGACGGTCCCAGGGCCAGGCGAGGGCCTCTAGAGGGCGAAAACGTAGGAGAAAAACAAGCATCTTCATTTTCTCAGTACGGCTGTGCAGTTACAGCTCCTTGCCTACACCGACCTCCAGCATCCCGATGTGTTCGAGACACGGGCTCCCGACTTCTCGACCATGTCCCCGGGACCGGTTTGTCATCCGTTCTTTGACGGCCCCGAGGCCCAGCAAGGGTCGCGAGAGTCCGAAAAGGATGAGAAAGATTCGATCCGATTTCAACGAGACGCCGGATGTCCAGGTATGCAGCTGCAGCTCCCTCACCGTATGCATCTAGGCCTCCCGGATGGGGTCCGAGCAGATGGGGTCGGAGGACCGCGCAGCATCGCCGACGTCGCCAATGCATCGCCGATGCAGCAGTGATGCATCGGCGATAAAGGCGTTGTCCTCCAGCCCCATCTGCTCGGATCCCATTGGGGAGGCCATCACGTGGACACCCAGAGGGTCTCGACCCACTCCCCGAGACCGGCTCTTCATTACGGGTCTTTTTGGGGACGGCCCCGGGGCCCCGCGAGGGCCCCCAGGGGCCGAAGATGGCATCTGCCAGGAGAGCCCGTCGTGATTCTGTCCACGGCCCGAGGGGATCTGGGCATCCAGCGCCTCCACCGTGTGCAGCCGCTGCTCCTCCACCAGACAAGACGAGAGGCGCCGCGAGAGGCGTCTTCACCGAGCTTGGCGCGCACGAGCTGCCCGCGTGAGGCCTCGCGCAGGCACCCCCTTCCCCGCACGGTGCGCCACGCTGGCGGCTCGCGGAGACCACCGCGCAAGGTCGCCACGTCGGCTCGCACAGGACACGTTTTTTCGCTCGCCGCTCGTGCCTGTGCAGTGGCCGCTGCTCCGCCCCAAGGGGGGGGGCGTCGCGCATGCGCGAGGGCCCAGGACAGTTTTCTCATCCTGACTCGTCGTTTGACGCTCCCGGGGCCTGGCGAGGGCATCTAGAGGCCGAAAGATTAAGAGCAGAAAGAACGCTAGCATTGTGCAATACGTGGAGCATCTTGGTATGCAGTTGCAGCTCGCGCACCGTATTCGGCTGCGCGCACGAGTGACCCTTCGCAGGAGTGCCCCTCGGTGCGGGCCCACAGGGGTCCCCCCAGCCCTCGCGCTCGGACTCGGCCTGCCCCGCGGCCCCCCCCCCCGAAGCCGCGCCGCCAGAGGCCACTCCTGAGCGGGGGTCGCTCTCGCGTGCAGCCGACGCGTGCAGCTGCTGCCTCCCCCCCCCCGGAGGAGGCGCTGCGCATGCGCGAGGACGAGAGCTGGTGCGCGCGGCGGCGCGCCCTGCTCGGCGCAGAGATCGCCGCGCAGCGCAGCCAGCGGGACGCGCTGCAGCGCCAGGCGCGCAGGCTCCGCGAGGAGGCCGCCGCCTCCGAGCGGCGCGAGTGGAGCTCGGGGGGGGCAACGTGAACCTCGAGGCCCGAGGTCGGACAGGCCTCGGCCACATTCATCTGCCAACGGCTCCCCCTCCCTCCAATGCTCAAAGTTGGCGGTGGGCCTGACGAGATGCACTCCGACCGCAGCCTCCCCCGCGCGTGCCAGCAGTGAGGTTGGGGGGGGAGGGGGAGTGCTCAGTAATCGCCTCCCTCTGCCGGAGATGTTCGGCCTCCTTCGTCGGCTTCTCGGCGGCTCTGCGGCCTCGGGGTGGGCGCTCCCGCGGCTGCGCCCCGCCGAGGGGCGTTCTCCCGAGGTGCCCGGGGGTCCTCCCGAAGGGCCGCCGGAGGCCCGAGGTGTGGCCCGAAGGCTCGAAGGTCCTCCCCTCCCCTCCCCTCCCCTCCCCTCCCCTCCACAATTACTCAATATGAATATACTCTCCCTCTTCCCCTGATGGCGTCCGGGTGATAGCCGCGCACCCTCCGATGAGAGCCGCGCGACTGGCTCTCCGGGAGCAAGTAGCTAGGCCTCCCAGATGGGGTCCGAGCAGATGGGGTCGACGGGTCGCGCCGCGTCGCCGATGCATCGGCGATGCAGCTCGATGTGGAGCCCGATTTTCTCCACGCCGACGGCGCCGATGCATCGCCGACGTCACCGATGCATCGCCGATGCATCGCCGGCGTCGCCGATGCGGCGCGAGCTGCTCTCAGGGAACAAAGGATGGCAGAAACCCTGAGGTCCTGGCGTCGCGGATTTGTTCGAGCTGGGCGTTTTCGGGGGCCTCACGGATCGATTCGGCTCGAAAATTGCTCAGAAAGATAAGGATCAGAGCTCCGGTCGTGATTTTCTCCGAGGCTCCGAAAAAATGACAGCGGCCGGTTTTTGTTACATTCAGTCTCCAGAAGCCTTTTCAAGTGGCCTTGGGACCGTCAAAAAACGACTCGGGATGAAAAAGCGGCCTCTGGGAAATGGTGCAGACTTCTGGGGGTCCACCCCTCGAAAAAATTGGAGCGCCGGCTGTTGTTGGGAGCCATGGCATACACACGAGCTTTCGAAGGTCCGCGCGGACTTCTTGGATCGGCGCTGGACCCCCCTTCGGCGGCGAGCGAGGGGGGGGAAAGAGAAGGAGAAGGCCTTCTCAGAAGGCTCGGAAGTCCCCCGGCCTTCTGAGAAATCGTCTGAGCCTTCCCCGAAGACGACACACAAACTTCTCAGAAGGCGCGAGGGCTTCTGAGAAGCCCCGCCGCCTTCTGAGCAGGCCTTCTCCTTCTCGCTTCTCCCCCCTCGCTCGCCGCCGACCCCTTGTTAGCGCACAGAGCGCGCCAGGGGCGGCGCGGGAGGCGCCGCCCCGGCCCTTGTTCCTGGCATCGCTCGGACGTGTGCATTTTTCTCTCGGCGAGGATCATCGAGGAGCATCCTTGATCATTTGGCGAAAAAACCACGCACGAAACCGAAAAAAACACAGGGAATGGACGTCCGAGCGATGGCGAGTGTTGCGTTCCTCGAGGATCGGGCGGCAGCGCCTTGGCCTGCACGCGACGGGGCTGGGCGGCGCCGGCACGGCCGGGCGCAGCCAGCTCCCGAGGACTCACTCCTCCTCCTCCTCCTCCTCCTCCTCCTCCTCCTCCTCCTCCTCCTCCTCCTCCTCTCCTCCTCCCTCCTCCTCCTCCTCCTCCTCCTCCTCCTCCTCCTCCTCCTCCTCCTCCTCCTCCTCCTGGGTTTGGGGGCCCCGTGGAGCCGATGCTCCCTTTCCCGCCGTCTGCCCTCCGCTGACCCGGGCGTCGCGAACAAGAGGCGGAGGAGGAGCAGGAAACGGAGGAGGGGGAGGATCTGCTATGCGGCTCTGGCAGGGTTTCGCGACGCCGACCTGGCCGACCTGGATGTGTTTTGACCTGGGCCCTCCAGCCGCCTGAGGCCCCGCCCGCCTGTGCCCTTTCTCCCCAAGTAGAGCTGTGCGTAGCCCGCCTAGCTTTTACTGGACGATGTTCGCTCTCGCACCGCAGACCAAAAAGTGTTTTGACCCGTGTTCGCGCGTCAGACCACCAGGGGTGCGGCAGGTTCCCACCGCGTCGGCGCGGCAGCGGCCCCAGCGGGGACGCCCGCGGGGCTGTCACCGGTGGCCCGGCAGCGGCCGATGTGGAGCGATCCGCGCTGCCGGAAAGCTGGAGAGCTCCATTCTTCGAGCATCAGAGTTTCGAAGGCAGAGGCGAAAACAGAGGCGAAGGTGGAGAAGGAGGAGGACGAGGCGACGGCGAAGGCGGAGGAGGAGGAGGAGGAACAGGAGGAGGAGGAGGAGGAGAAGGAGGGAGGAGAAGGAGGAGGAAGGAGGAGGAAGGAGGAGGAGGAGGGCAGCCTCGAAGATCCGTGGCCGAGGAGGAGGGCAGCCTCGAAGATCCGTGGCCCCGCACATTCGGAGCTCCACGCGGGGTTCGTGGATCGGCGCCCGGAGCCCCCCTGGCGGCGCCTCCGGCACGCCGCCCCCGGGGCGCTCCGAAGGCCAGGGAGGGGGGGGGGGTCAGCTCAAATGCGAGAGATCCACGCGGACCGTCGAAAGTTTCTGCTTAGGGAGGAGGTGGGGGTGGCCCAGCTCCGATCCGAGAGGTCCACGCGGACCGTCGAAAGCTTATGTTTCATGCCGTCTTTGCCGTTCTCCAGAGGAGTGGCCGTGAGGCGTCCGCCGAGGACGGCTCCGCCGGCTGGAGCGCGCACGCGTCGGGGCTGACGGGCGCGGGCGCGGCCGGGCGCAGCCAGCTCCTGAGGATCGCTGTGGAGCAAGCGGGTCCTGATGGGAAACGGGTCGGGGCCCAGAGGCTCTCCCCGTGACCCCGGGCTGTCAGACAGCGGCTCGGGGCGGAGAGCTGGTCCCCGGGGACTGCCCCCACGGTCCAGGACCCGTTTCCCTCAGGACCCGCCTCCTCCTCTTCCTCCTCCTCCTCCTCCTCCTCCTCCTCCTCCTCCTCCTCCTCCTCCTCCTCCTCCTCCTCCTCCTCCTCCTCCTCCCGGGTTGCCACTGAGGAGCGGCCGCGAGGCGTCCGCCGAGGACGGCTCCGCCGGCTGGAGCGCGCACGCGCCGGGCCTGGCGGGCGCGAGCGAGGCTGGGCGCAGTCAGCTCCTGAGGAGCGGCCGCGAGGCTTCCGCCGAGGACGGCTCCGTTGTCGGCTGGAGCGTGCCGGACTCGCCGTCCCCGCCGTCCATTTGGTGCGCGCCGCCCGGCGGTGGCCGGCATGCCGCGTCCGCGCCAGGAGGCCGCGCGGGGCCGAGGAGCGTTTGCATGGATCCCCCGCCGCGTCCCACCGGCGCGCGGGCCACCGGGATCAGCAATTCGGGGTCCCAGCAAAGGCGCTTCGATTCCACAGCTCGACACGCGCCTCGATTCCAGGATTCGCCGCCGACGCCGACGTTGTCGCCACCCCCGCTGCCGATACTGCTGCTGCTGCTGCTGCCTGCTGCCGTCGCTGGCTCCGCGGACGCCACTGATGTTGCTGACCGTGCTGTCCCCTTCTCTCTCTCTCTCTCTCTCTCTCTCTCTCTCTCTCTTTGTTTCCCTCATGTCGTTCATCTGAGACTCGCCCTGTACCCCCTCCATCTCATCCCGATCCGCCCTCCTGACTTACATTCCTCCCCTTCCTCTGGCTCGTTGTTTGCACCCCCTCCCTCTCTCTTTCTATCTCGTTCTCTCGTTTTCTCTCTCTCTCTCTCTCACACTCTCTCTCTCTCTGTCTCTCTCTCTCTCTCTCTCTCTCTCTCTTTCTTGCGTTATATTGTTATGTATCTCCCTCTCTCTCTCTCTGTCTGTCTCTGTCTCTCTCTAGCTGTACTAATACAATGGGTACCAATATACATAGAAGCGGACATGCCTTGATCTCTGGCGCGCGGGCGAGGCTGCGTCTGGAGCGCCCTTGGATGGCCCCGAGACGGCCCCAGAGTGAGCCCCAAGACGGGCCAAGAGTGCTCCAGAGCATGTCAGATGGTCCATGCGGGCCCGAGTCGCCGAGTGATCGGTCCGAGGTACTCCAGGTGGCCTCCAGACGGCCCGCACGGCTTCCGAGACGCCCCAAGAGGCCTCCAAGAGCCCGCCCAAGAGAGCTCCAAGAGATGAAAGTCGTTTCATTCCGTCTTGGAGAAAACATAAATCTGTAGCATTTGCTAACTTTCGGCTTTCACGGCGTCCAAGACGGCCCAAGAGGCTTCCCTATCATCCCCACACGACCCAAGAGGCCCCCAAGAGGGCCCCAAGACGCCCCAAGAGGGCCCAGAGAGGGGTCCAAGCGGGGGAATTCGAATTGAGCTTCCGAGCCCTCCGCCCCAAAACGGGCCCCCGAGACCGCCAGCAGGCCCCCAAGAAACCCCAACAGGCCCAAAGGAGGCCTCCACAGGCCCCCAGAGGGCCCCCGAGAGGGCCCAAGAGGTCGCCTGACAGGCCCCAGTAGCACTGGCCTAGAAACTTGCAAACGACCGCGCGCCAAAGCCGTCCCATCCCGATCATATACCGAAACGAGGAACCAATTAGTACGGCGGCGGCCAGAGAGTCAATGTATGTATGTTGTATGTATGTTGGGGCAATTGCTGATGTTTCTTTGCAGCACGGGTCGTGGCCGGGTCTGAAATTTTAACCCGCGATCCATAGCTCATTTGTGCTGAAGTGTTTTTTTCCCGGAGAGGGCTCGAGCCCAGGGTTCTCTTTTAGTTGGTTCCCCCCGGTTTCGACGGCTGTAGGGCCGGCGAAATTATTCTGCGATAAATTACGTGCGGGAGTAGGGCCGGCGGAATTATTCTGCGATAAATTACGTGGTAAAGTGTGAATTTGCACGTGGTCCCGAGCTGGAACCACGTGTTTTTACATGTCCAGGCCACCCAGGGGGGGTATCTGACACGGTGGTGTCGCGCTGGAACCACATGTTTTCACGTGTCCAGGCCAGACATGGGGGTATCTAACATGGTGGTCCCGAGCTGGAACCACGTGTTTTCACGTGTTCAGTCCACCCAGGGGGTATCTAACATGGTGGTCCCGAGCTGGAACCACGTGTTTTCACATGTTCAGGCCACCCAGGGGGGTATCTAACATGGTGGTCCCGAGCTGGAACCACATGTTTTCACGTGTTCAGGCCACCCAGGGGGGTATCTAACATGGTGGTCCCGAGCTGGAACCACGTGTTTTCACGTGTTCAGGCCACCCAGGGGGGTATCTAACATGGTGGTCCCGAGCTGGAACCACGTGTTTTCACGTGTCCAGGCCACCCAGGGGGGTATCTAACCTGGTGGTCCCGAGCTGGAACCACGTGATTTTACGTGTCCAGGCCACCCGGGGGGGGTATCTGACACGGTGGTGTCGCGCTGGAACCACGTGTTTTCACGTGTCCAGGCCAGACATGGGGGTATCTAACATGGTGTTCCCGAGCTGGTTATGTGTCTAG